AACGTCCTCTTTAAGAATATCTGAATGGCAATTATGCTCGGCCATTTTTTTCAAAATGGCGGATGATAAAGTGAGAGGATGCAAAATTGATAATCAAAGGTCCGTGTTTGCGATGGTGCATGGTGTGCATCAAGTATCGCAGCGTAATGGGACCAAATGCACATGAAAGTATAGAGTGTTATCTTTAAAATGCTACTTTACCGAGCTCGATGTGATCATTTTTCACTGAGTTGTTCCAAATTTTGCTAAAAATGCGGTTTTCTTGTTAAATTTGCATAATTCAGTGAATAAGTATCGCATCAAGCTCTATAACGAAGTATTTTAAAGGAAACATTGTATATTTTTAGGTACTTTTCGTCCCATTGAGCTGCGACACTTACTTTGCTCCATGCGCCGTCGCACGCTCGAACCATTTTTTAGCAACTTTTCATGTTCTCCTTTTTATCACCCGCCATTTTGAAAAAATATCGTTGCGCACAATTTCGATAGATCTTTCGAAAAGTACGGTTTCAAAGCTTTCAAACCGTTTTTGAAATTTGCTGCTAGGATATTTAGGTGTCGAGATATTCAATTTCGAATTTGCAACAAATGTCGATTCAGCGAGGCTTAAGGGGCTAAGAGGCTCTGCGGTTCGTTTGGCTCTTTCATAATTTCAATAGCCGCGTTCATTATTCTCTATACAATAATTTACACAATTTTGCGAATTGGAAATTTAATTTTTATCAAAAGTTATCATTCTTTACCCTTCAGTTACTCATGATCACTGTGGTATACACTTTAGTTCGCGAAGCTGTCCCTAGCTCTCTACCTTCTCCGTACGATTGGATTATGGTACACAGCTTGAATATGCTGTTCAGGATCGCGCCTGAGTTCGCGGTGACCCGGCGCGCGGGATGCCGAGTCGCTGGACGCCACCTGAACGTCGAAATTCCCTGGCGCTCCTAGTCCACGGAGCCGCCGCGACGCGGCGATCTGGGTTGTCGCGCGCGCGAGCCCTTCGGCTCGCACGCGAGTTCGAGCTGCCCAGGGCATATAAGAGTGCCCGCGGAGACGATCAGAGATTGCCTTCGTACAGCTTTTGGCCTTCGTACGGTCCACCGCCGATAGTGGGACTATCTCTTGTACGCTGGACTTCGCGAGTTTGTCAGTACGCCGGGCTTACGTTCTGGCTTGACTGAGATTCTGTCGGTGCACCGGGCTTTAACGCCTGGCTTGACTGGATTTTTCTTAAATGTATGTGCCAGGACAATAAACAAAGACAAACAATTTTCCTTTTCCGAACGTGTTCACTCCGATAAGCGCTGCCTCGTGCGACTTTTCTTTTTCCGTGATCTTTTACTTTCGAGGCGCGTTGCTTCGTGCAACTTCATCAATTTAAACCATAATTGATTGTTTCGCATCGAAATTATTGCGTCGATTATGGCGACGATAAATCCTGAAAAGGCTGCTCAAGTTATTGCTTTAATTGAAGATGGCAGAAGTCGAAGGTACGTTGCTCAGGCACTTGATTTGTCAGTGTCAACTGTTCAACGTGCTTATGCCAAGTACTTACAAACCAATTCTTTCCATAGAAGGCCTGGTTCGGGACGTCCTCGATGTACCAATCACAATGATGACCGATTTATTGTTTCAAATTCGTTAAGAGACAGACATCGAACATCTGTTCAAATTAGAAACAATTTAAGGGATGTCCGCAACATTAATGTATCCGTTAACACCGTTCGGAGAAGATTAAAGGAACAAAATCTGCTTTCGCGCAGGCCAGCAGCTGTACCTTTGCTTAAATGTCACCATCACGTAGCTCGACTCAATTTTGCAGTTGAGCATAGAGACTGGACTTACGCAGACTGGAGCAAAGTACTCTTTAGCGATGAATCTCGTTTTTGTGTCTATTCTCCAGATGGACGAGAACGAGTTTATCGTCGCGGTGGAGAACGATTTGCAGACTGTACGGTAAGTGAGAGGCATAGCTACAATGGAGGCTCTGTAATGATTTGGGCAGGAATTTCAGCTAATGCTCATACAGATCTGCACTTTTTTGACAAGAATATGAACGCAGATGTATACGTGGAAGACATACTCATTCCGTATGTTGTTCCGTACGCACCCTTCATCGAAGAGAACTTCTTGTTTATGCAAGACAATGCTCGACCACACACTGCGAGAAGAGTGCTTGATTTCTTCGATGAAGTTGGCATAAATCGACTCGATTGGCCAGCAAATAGTCCAGATTTAAATCCAATCGAATACTTATGGGACAACCTCGGCAGGAAAGTACGAAATCACGTACCTGCTCCTCAGTCACTGCGAGAACTGCGAATAATTCTCCAAAACGAATGGAATACAATTACGCAGGATGAAATTAAAAGACTAATAAGGAGTATGCCTGATCGTATGAATGAGGTAATACGCGCACGAGGCAGTCATACCCACTGTTAGTACACACACACCACACACACACAGCAGAGAGGGTTTGGAGTCATTAATTACTGCAAGAGTGACGAACTGCGGGGTCCTTATCTTTGCTGTAACACCACACACACACACACACACACCACAAGGAGGGTGTGAAATCTTGAAATACTGTGGAGCTGACGAACCACGGGGTCCTTATCCTTGTGGTATACAAACACACACACACACACACACACACACACACTACATACAATGGGACTTTTCCTACCAGTAAAACTCCATGCGGTTTATATTGGGAAGACTTACAACCATAATTTGAGCTAATGAGAGCGGTATCTTAAAACGCAATTCATCTTTATTACGTAATATCGATTACGCAAAATGAAGAACCTAAATTGAATTTTACTTTCATTTCCCTGGCTTTCAAAATAATAAATGCAAATCATTGAATATATTGTGCAGGTTATGTAAATTATCATATAGAGAAACATGAACACAGCTATTGAAATTATGAAAGAGCCAAACGAACCGCAGAGCCTCTTAGCCCCTTAAGCCTCGCTGAATCGACATTTGTTGCAAATTCGAAATTGAATATCTCGACACCTAAATATCCTAGCAGCAAATTTCAAAAACGGTTTGAAAGCTTTGAAACCGTACTTTTCGAAAGATCTATCGAAATTGTGCGCAACGATATTTTTTCAAAATGGCGGGTGATAAAAAGGAGAACATGAAAAGTTGCTAAAGAAAGGTTCGAGCGTGCGACGGCGCATGGAGCAAAGTAAGTGTCGCAGCTCAATGGGACGAAAAGTACCTAAAAGTATAGAATGTTTTCTTTAAAATACTTCGTTATAGAGCTTGATGCGATACTTATTCACTGAATTATGCAAATTTAACAAGAAAACCGCATTTTTAGCAAGATTTGGAACAACTCAGTGAAAAATGATCACATCGAGCTCGGTAAAGTAGCATTTTAAAGATAACACTCTATACTTTCATGTGCATTTGGTCCCATTACGCTGCGATACCTGATGCACACCATGCACCATCGCAAACACGGACCTTTGATTATCAATTTTGCATCCTCTCACTTTATCATCCGTCATTTTGAAAAAAATGGCCGAGCATAATTGTCATTCAGATATTCTTAAAGAGGACGTTTCAAGCTTCATTTTGCATTTCTGCGCATATTTGTATCTTCATTATTTACCAAGTTATGATCAATTGAAATTTTGTAATTTTTTCCCAAATTTTTAGTGTACCGGGTTTTTTGCGTTTGAGTGTATAAATGATGAGTCTTCCAATTAGGTCCTCGACATTGGACATTAGTCACCCGAGGGAAGCCGACATGACATTTAGTCGGGGGGCTTGAAATGTTTAAAGCATCACGTGCCATCCAACGTAAGGCTCAGATAACGTATTTGGGCCTCTATGGGAACTCTAACTTTCCCTACCCGCAGCTGAGCCTAGGATGGTCTGGTCTTCTTCTTCTGGAACAAGGTCTCTTGTGTTCCGTTACCATCAGACCTAGCTGGCGGATGGTGCGCATGGCACAGACCACTGCAATGTTGGCAGTGGATACTGCGTCCCCCCAGTCTCCATTCCCGGCCAGTATCAATATATCATCTGCGTAGCAGATTTGATGAGTTTGATGATTTTGAGATTTCCAAAAGTCAATAAATTAACAAAAGTTAGGACATTATTATAACAAAATATTCTTGAGACCAAATAGAGTCTAGTATTATGTTTTCTTCCGACAAATGATTAGCGAGATATCGTAAATTAAATATTGAAAAAGTTACCAAATTTTCCTTAAATATCTCAAAATATATTAGGCAAATAAAAAAATATTTCAGATAAAAGTTATTCAAATTAATTAGTAGAAAAAGATGATGTAATAAAAAAATTGAGGTTTCCATTTAAGAAATGATCAGTAAATATCTCGAAAGTGGCACTTTCTATAAACAAACTGATAGTTGTTTTATGTCCTCTTTGAAACCATACAACTTTTGTCTGAAACGTTTCTTAGTATCTTTCATATTTTTTGAGATTTTTGCCTAGCTCATTTAAAATAGGACATCCTGTAGAGCTTTATTTTTATTTGACCTGTGCTAAGATAAATGGGGCAAGAGGGTACATTTCTCTTTCATCGTGCATGTGTAATTGTAAATAATTTGTCATAGTGACTGCTTAATCTACGTCGATGTTGGTAAGATCATTGGTTACGCTCGTCAGTGAACGTACAACCGTGTATGTGAGGATTAAAAATTTATCCTTTCCATCGAATTATCCGAAGTTATCTTGGAATGCGATATCCTTATAAGCTGGCACAATGCTCTTTCTCTATACAATATTACATCATATTATTATGTTTTAGATTTTCATGTATCTGAGTTGAAAGCTTGATTATTGTGAAAATTCGAATAAATTAGGAATGTTGCATTGGTTCGTTATGAATATAATCAAAATTTCTATGTATTTGATGTCATAATATCGTTTGATTTCTGTTAAATAAGGAATATTACTAAAGACGACTATTATTGAGCACCCTATAAAAAATATATATTACTAATAATAATTTGTGTTAGATTTCAGTAATATTATTGCAAAAGCAGATATAAAACTTTTGTCAGAAAGCGATGAACAAGAAATAGTCAGAGAAGTACATGAATATTATGCGGATTATCTAGCAATTAGTCCACATTTATTTTCACTTGGTATAAATGCATGCTCAGAAGGTAGTTTTATTTTATAAATAAATATATAGATAATTATATTATATAATAAGTATGTCACAGAGATTTATGATAAACTTTAATAAATTTCTATCTTACTATACTATTTATTGATAGCGTCCATTATTTATATTATGATTCAAGGATTAACATGGAATCCAGTGCATTTACATAGAACTGTCCAAGGAATAACTTCTGTTTTACTATCGTTAAAAAAATGTCCATATATTAGATATCAAAATAGTTCTGATATGGCTAAGAGATTAGCAGAGAAAATAAGGGAAGTGCTTAGTAAAGAATCTAATTCCTTTGAATTCAGACAGGAATCTAATCCTATCCTTCTAATAGTTGACAGAAGAGATGATCCTGTTACACCTTTATTAAATCAATGGACATATCAAGCAATGGTACACGAGTTATTGACAATTAATAATAATCGTGTTAATTTATCTCATGTAAAAGGCATCTCAAAAGAATTAAAAGAAGTTGTTCTGAGTGCGGAACACGATGATTTTTATGCGAATGTAAGTACCTTTTTATGTATTGATATCTGAATCAATAAGAGTAGTGGCACATATATCATTAAAATAATATTTTGGTGTTGCATATATACAAAATATTTGATAGTAAGTATATCCTTTATGTATTTAAAGATTAAACTGAACGAAAAAGGATAATTATTTCTTTTAACAAATATAGTTCCGACGAATTTGATTTTGATATAGTTTGTTTGATAAGATCGTATCCGGCATAATTCGAAAACAATTTATTATAATAACTTGGAAAAAGATACCCACATTCTATTTGATTAGAACTGTGATGTTTTATTATTAATAACTGAGCCAGTTGCCTTTATTATCAATAATTGCGTAGTATCTTTTTATTTTATAGCATATTCTTGAAATAAAAATCTCCAAGCCAATCGAATTTGTCGAACTAACTTCTTGACCTTCTAAATTTTCTTTCTACGAAGCTTAAGTTTCATTAATCGCTTCGTTGGCATTGACACACTTTTGCATAAAGACGTGCCATAAATGGCATAGACGCACTAATGCGCACATCGTTTATTTTTTTATTAATTGACCCGATTTTCGTAAAAATTGGTATTCTAAGGTTTTTGAGGTTACTGAGTAAGAATTTGAAGTCAAAATATGGCAATTCAAAATGCCGGATCCAAAATGGCAGACCAAAAAAATAAAAATCTATCTTGTTATTATGAAACTCGGTATCTGGGAGTTTTTCAGGTACTGAATAAGAATTTGAAGTCAAAATATGGCAGTTCAAAATGGCGGATCCAAAATGTTTCTTTATTAAAGGAGGAGGGTCACTAAAGCCGGTTTTCGACACCCTTCAAAATTGTATATGTAAAAATATGGGGTTCTATATAAAATATTGAAATCGACATTCACGTGACTTTCAAATGACTATCCAAGGTCAAACCAATGACACCATCTTATGTCCCCCTTAGAAACCATACAACTTTTATCTGAAACATTTTTCTCAGAAACGCTTAGTTTTCCAAAGAAATGCTTGATACGAGTGCGCTGATGCACCATGTATACTTGAAATATACACTCTAAATACTTCCGTTTAGGAATTGACTAAATATTACTTCCAAGGGTATAAGGAAGTGATTCCAGCCATTTTGGTCCAATTTTGAAGGGTGCCGAAAACAGGCTTTATGGATCCTCCTTCTTTCTAAAAAAAATCTAGTCATGTTACACATACTACCTTGAATTTTCAAGTTTTGAACTCAAATTCGTTTTTAGCAACCTGGAAAACCTCTAGATATCGAGTTTCACAATAATCACAACAATTTCCTTTTTTGACTACCATATTGGATTCGCCATTTTGAATTTTGAAATTCATATTCAGCAACTTGGAAAACTACATATCGAATTTCATGAAAAATCAGATACACTTTTTGGCTGCTATTTTAGATTTGCTATTTTGAATTTTCATATTTTTATCTCAAATTCGACTTCAGTCACCCGAGAAACATTTTAGTACTGATGTTTATAAAAATCAATTATTTATGATTCATATGTTGCTATGTTAGGTCAGTTGATGCTTTTCTTAGTGCCAACGAAATGGTTAATGCCCAAACGTTTTTGATGGAATTTAAATCCAGTATCTGTGACAGCCAATGTCATTTTTTTGTTTCCATATAGTAAAAAAAAATTTCAACGTTTTGGGATATTATCCTCTTCTAGTTATTTTTCCTTTTAAACCATTTTTAGGTAGATGGTAAGAAGTTCATACATTTTAATCATTTTGGTAGTGTTCACGTTGTCTATGAAGATATGCGTGGTACCAAATCCTTGCTTTGAAAAGTAATTTCAAACATGCATCTTTAATTCGAAGTTTTCCACTTCTAAGTAACTTCTCTTATCTATATATGCCTTAGACCTTCTCATATATTTAGCAAGCGCTTAGTGATTTTCAGTTTTTTCTGATGTATATAGAGAAACATGACTTTGAATCGCGATACCTATGCGGCACTCATGGCAAAATAGTATTTCTATCATGAAAATCAAATAACAACTGAAATTTTTTCTATAAAACATCTTGGAAGAAGAGTCCTTCTACTGTTGAATTACCGTTAAAATTTTCTATTTCGCAGCTTCCATGTAAAGGTTTTACCGGACATGCTTTTATTAAAGGGACATCCTATTTTCTCGGCTGAAAATTTTGCTGATTTTCAGGAATTTTTTTTTTATGATTAAATGAGGACATATTGAGTGAAACTTTTTTTTACTATATTTGCGAGTCTTAATTTATATAAAAAATTTTTTTTTAATTTTTTTCCAGCTTTTTCATAAAAATATTTACAGTTTGCAATAGCGCCTCCAAAAACTGATGGCTCGCTGGCGCGCGATTGCAGTCGACTGGATTATCTAAAACAAAATAATTAATATATTTTTAATTTTTATTAGGAGCGCAAAAAAAGTTCTGAGCCCTAGATTTCATACTACTGAAACCACAATTTAAATTACATTAATTTTCCCGCCCTCTTGCGGTTTTAAAGCAGTGACATTTGGTCTTTCGAAACATCGTGCGATTTGGTGTTTGATGCACATAACCTTAAAATCAGCAGTGTTCACGATGGCAATAACAAAAGAGCATATTCGATTTTCCATCCACTTCGCGTTTCATCTGAAGAAAAATGCTGCTGAAGCCACTGAAATGATCTGTGTTGCATATGGAGAGAACGCTGTAAGTTATGCTACGTGTAAAAGGTGGTATCAAAAATTTCGCCAAGGAGACTTCAGTCTTGAAAATGAACCGCGTGCTGGACGCCCTCAAAAGATTGAAACGGACGAACTGCAAGCATTGTTGGATATAAACTCTGCACAAACTGAAAAGGAGCTTGCAGAGCAACTTGACGTTACGCGACAAGCCATTTCCACACGTTTACATGCAATGGGAAAAGTTCAAAAGGAAGGCAGATGGGTTCCGCATGCATTGTCCGAAGACAACAAAAATCGACGGCGTGACACGGCACTCACTTTGCTTTCAAGGTTCCGGAAAAAGGATTTTCTGCACCAAATCATTACAGATGATGAAAAGTGGATACTTTATGATAATCCGAAGCGTAAAAAATCATGGGTTGACCCTGGTCAACCTTCGACATCGACGCCAAAGACCAATATCCACGCCAAGAAGGTTTTGCTTTGCATATGGTGGGATTGGAAAGGTGTATTGTATTACGAGTTGTTACAGCCGGGTGAAACAGTAACGGCAGATCGCTATCAGCAACAATTGAGCAATTTGAGCGATGCGTTTCAAGAAAAGAGGCCATTTACTGGCAAAGGACGTCGTAAAGTGATACTGCTTCATGACAATGCCCAACCACATGTTGCGAAAGTGACTCAGGACCATATCTTTGCGTTAGGCTGGGAACTTCTCCCGCACGCGGCGTATAACTCAGACATGGCGCCTTCCGATTACTACCTATTCCGGTCTCTGCAGCATTTCTTGGCTGATACACATTTTGTGACACTTGAAGAGATACGAAAATGCATTGATGACTTTATCGCCTCGAAACCGGTGAGCTTCTACCATCAGGGAATTCGCAAGCTGCCCGAAAGATGGCAAAAGGTCATCGATGCAAACGGGAAATATTTCGTTGATTAATAGTTTTGTTTGTTTTTAAATAAATTTTGAATTTTGCAAAAAAAGGCTCAGAACTTTTTTGCGCTCCTAATATATGAAATTGTCTCGTATGACGCTTGAAAAAAAAATACCGAGTAAAAGTTTTTTTAATGAAGAACTTTTAAAGTTAAGGACCCAAAAAATTGCATTTTCTTAAATAGGAAAATATTAATTGATCAGCAAACTTTGAATGGAGTTTCGTGGATAGGCTCTAGCTAGGGCACTTACGAGGATACTCCTAACAAGGCCTGCCATCATTAGGCCTAGATGGAGCGTAGAAAGGCAAACTTTGAATGGAGTTTCGTGGATGAGCTCTGGCCACAGACTTCTATAGTATAACTAGACTGCTAACTCCGACTCAATACATGACCCCGAAAAGTATGTACGGTCCTAGTGGTCCGACATTCACGTCTGATTGGTTGAATCAAAACACATTTCTTCTAATTAGATGGGTCATATTGCTTATGTAGCCTCTCTTCTTGTAGACTACCAATTCACGCATGCGCAGATGTTTGATTCCCTTATGTAATACATACTTTTTGGGGTCAATTTTGTGCTACAGTATACGAGGGAGTTAGCAGTCTAGTTATACTATAGAAGTCTGTGGCTCTGGCTAGACACTTACGAGGATACTCCTAACAAGGCCTGCCATCCTTGGGCCTAGATAGAACGTAGAAAGGCAAACTTTGAATAGAGTTTCGTGGATAGGCTCTGGCTAGGCACTTACGAGGATGCTCCTAACAAGGCCTGCCATCCGTGGGCCTAGATAGAGCGTAGAAAGGCAAATTTTGAAGGAAATTTCGTGAATAGGCTCTGGCTTGAATGCAACTGTTTCACAGCACTGCTAACGTTTCTTTCATGCGCATGCGCGCGAGAGTTTCCTGCGGACCGGCAGTAGTGACACGTGGAAAGGATACAGTGAAAGAAATATGTGGAAAAGGATATAGTGAAGAAAATACTGATATTTTTACGTATATACTGAATTTAACAGGTATGTTATAAACATTTCTTTAAGTGTTGTGTACATCAAAATTAAGGCCGTGATACATTTAAAATTGTAACAGTATTCTTACAGTGAATCAGTGACACGTCATTAAAAGCAGTGAATATATATTAATTTTCAGTAAAAAGTATACTACTGAAACTGTTCAATGAATACTATTACAACTTGAAAGGTGTTACATGCAGAAGTTTTATATGTGCAGATTATATATCTTAATTACTGAACTTAATCTTTCAACGATCAAGTTATATATGGTTTGTTCTTTGTAGCTGCACTGCTGAACTGGTGCAATAAGCTAGAGTGAGAAAACCTATATTTGTCTCACAAACTCAAATTTGTCTCAAAGAACAGATCAAAAGTGAGAAA